ACAGTATTGAAGATTATAAGATGTAAAAATCATAGACCATATATAAATTAATAAAAATATATTTTTTAACTAGAATCGGATATGATCTGGATCCAATAATAAGACCCAAACTCGGGCCTTGTGCAGGATGGTGTTGATTCAGAATTGGGTCATTTGACCACACATGACATGGGTTTATAGAAAAGATGAACTTGAATTTAAATTTTATTGAAAGGAATGAACTTTTTTATTCTTTATGCTGTAAAAGAGCTGAATTAGATTAAATTACTTGCAACAGGGGTTCAAATAATCGACATAATATTTTTGTAAACACAAAAAAGGGCTACACACTTTCGGGTAAAGAGGAAATACACATGAACTTGAACACAAGTGGAGTAGCGTTACATTTGCAATTTTGTTTTGGTTCTATGTATGGATGAGAGTGTATAAGTCACCACATTCAGGTTTTGAGAGAACTTGGAATTGCTCGTCTGCTAAGTCAAATGTGATGAGTGAGGAACCAGGACGATATATTTATGGCCACGTGCTCCATGAAGTCTTCCATTTACCAGGACCTGTGATGTCTCTTGATACAGACGGTAAGGTATCTCCCCAAGCTTCTCCAGGCAGGGCTGCTTAGAGTACCTAAAATTTGAACTTCTGATTCCGGAGCAAACATCCTGCCAATATAGCGGAAAGGACCAAGAGGTCTACGTGAAACCCTACCATATATAAACTTAATCAATTTGTATTCCTTTGTTATCTCATGAAAACAAAATCCGAACACCACATCTTGATTTAGAACTTCAACGGATTCAGGCAGCTGTATGTAATCCCTGGTACAAGGATTATATACCTAGTGTAAAGTTTTTATTTTGATAAATTACATAAGCATAACAAGCCCTTACATGATCCCACCACGTCAAGCTCAAGCAGCGTTGGTACTCGGACTCTTTTCACCTTCATATTTTCTTCGTTAAGAGTTGACAACTTTAAAGAGTAAAGCTGGTTTCAGATGGGATAGTCAAATTCAAGATGAGACATGGATCATTCTCACCCGTGGGAAAAATGCATACTTATGTTATAAGAAGGGGATCTTGAGTCAAGTTTTTCCAGGCCCGGCATACAAACTTGCTTTGCAATAAGGTGGTTATTGTGGGCAGCCTCGATAGTATGTCAAGGACAATTTTGCAAGGAAGATACTGCATCATGATTGTTGGTTCTTCTCCTGTTCTGTTTCATGCAAAATGAGATATGAAGTAGACAGAGAGTTCGAGTGAAGATATGATTGAAACAAAATTTGAAGATGAAAACTCTTTTAACTAGATTTTAGGTCAATGGTAAAGTAGGTTTGTAGTGTGGAGGAGTAGTAATTGAGGGTATTCTTATACTGTTTTTTGGATCTGTCATTGTGGTCAGTTTTAAATTTTGTCTTTCCATACATGCTCTACAACTTAATTTCTTTGAGAAAAGATGTCTAGCATAATCAAACTGAAATGTTCCATCTTTGAAATTTTATGCATCTTTCACCTCTAAAATAAAACCATTTATCTGCCATTGTCCAAAACAAATTTACGTCAAAAGCAGTTACTGAATGTCTAACCCAAAACTTTTGGAATCAAGTAATGATTAAAAATGTCTTCTTGAATGGCCTATAAATTTACTAATCATTTAAAAAAAAAAAAATTCTTTTATAAATGAAATTAAATTAATCTGATGTGAATTACACTTATATCTAACCATATTCATATTGGCTTGGATCAGAGGTGTACATGAATCATTTACATTTTCGCATAATTTAAATTAATAACAAGAGGATCTTGTACTTGGGCTAGGTGTATTTCCAGTATTTACAGACAACCTTGAATTAGTAAGGATGTTATAGGCAGCCTTGAATCTTGATAGCATGTCCATGACAATGTCATGTGGAAGATACTCCATCATGCTTGTCTGTCTATCTACACTGTTTGTTTGAGTTTGCAGAGTTTTAGAAGGAACAAGACATAAAACAAAACTGTTGGTGAAATGAGACAAAGTTGGACTTTGAGGGACATCAAATCAACATCAAAAGAGATAGAAAGTGCCATGAAATTGTGTTTTGTGGGATCTACATTTCCCATCTGACAATTCTTATGGAAAATCTTAAAGTTTCTAATTCCAAGGCAGGCTAAGAAATTGATGGGTCTAAGAATCTGATTCATCTGAATCGTCCAGTACAGAACAAATTGCCACCACGACGACACCATTAATGCTGATTCAGTTAAAATTGTGTCAATTATTTTAAAGGGTACTCATAATCAATAATTTTATTTCATGATATTGCGTTTTCATACTTTACTCAACATTTACCTTATAGAATGACTTCACTTTCCACTGAAAACTGATTTGCACTGTATACAGCAGGAATTTGACATCATTAACATTAATTTGCAAACACTAAACAGTAAATTTCAATTACACACTTTCAAGTACCAAGTTACAATGATTACATACTTATAGTTGCAAAAATGTAATACAGAAGAACATGAAAGAAAAATATTTGTATCAAGAAGCATTGGATTCAACATCTTTAGTTTCTATGTGTTGATGAGAGTAAGATTACCCTCATGAACAAAACCTGAAACCAATTTGGCATTCCGTGGAACAAGAATTGCTTAAATGTTCCCTTTTTTGGGTCATAAGAAACCAGAACTCTGCTTTTATAGTTCAACTGCAACAAGATGTCACCGTTGATCAGAAGGCAAAAGGCCTGAACAAATGAACGAATGCAATATAAGTTTGAACCCTTGAGGGATTGAGCCACGTCTTGTTCGAATCCTCCTGGCACTAGAACTCCGATGCTGAATTCCTTTATCCAAGACTCCTTCGCATCATAATCCTTCATAACCCAAATTTCAAGTTGGCAATAACTGGTCTGGAAAGCTTCAGAAAGGCAACCTCCTAAAACCACCAGATCAAACTTACCCCCTGAATAAGTCATCACACTTAGTGTTCGAAACTACTCGAAATTGTTCATCTGTCTGGTCAAATGAGATAAGCGAGGTGCCATGACGATATCTTAGTGGCAAAGTACTCCAATGAAGTCTTCCATTTACCAGGACTTGTGATGGCCTCTGATAAAGACGGTAAGGTATTCTCCCTATACTTCTCCAGGCAGGGCTACGCAGAGTGTCCAAAATTTGAACTTCTGATTTTTGAGAAATTATACTGCCTGCACGACATTGGATGTGACGGATAGGTAGAGGTAAAGGCTTATAATAAACAACTATAATCACCTTGTATTCCTTTGTTGTCTGATGGAAAACAAATCCTAACACCACATCTTGATTATGAAATTCTAAACATTTAGGTAGCTTTATTCAGTCCCTGGTAAAAGGATTATACATATAGAGAGATTTTTTTGTCAGGGAATCACACAAGCATGACAAACCCTTACATGATCCTAACACATCAAACTCAAGCAACGGAAGCACATGGATTCTGTTCATTCTCTGATTGTCTTTGCTATGAGGTGACAACTCTATTAAGTAAAGCTGATTTTGGGTGGGATAGTCATAATGTAAGATGAGACATGGATCATTCTCGCCTGATCGGGAAAAATGAATACCAACAAGAAGGGGGGTCTTGTGCTAAGTGTTTCTAGGCTCGGCATACAAGTTTGCATTGAAGTAACAATGTTACAGGCAGCCTAGATAATACGTCAAGAATGATTTCGCGAGGAAGAGACTCCATCATGGTTCTCTTGTTCTATTTCTCAGAAAATTAAATCTCAATCATACAGAGAGATAGCAGAAGATTAAAACAAATTTGAAGTTGAAAACAGAGAAAGTGAAAACGTTGCCCTTAGTTTACATGGCTCAGTTCTTTTAATAAAATTTTCTCATCTATGTTTGTAAAAGAAAAAAATAGAATGAAAAGACAGGAAGTTAAAGTATTGTTTTCTGGGATCCATCCTTGTGATAATTTTCAGGTTGTTCTCTTTCAGTGCAAGCTTTAGTCTCTAATATGAACCAAAATTACTCCCCAAAACACTTTTTTATTCTCTAGTAAGGACAAAAATGACTCTGTCAACCACTTTTTTTTGGACAAAAATATGTGAGTAGCATAGTTGAACATGCATCTTTATAATTTATCATGTATTATGCACCAAAAGAAAAAAAGCATTTTGGAAAAAACATGTATCTTGTTACTTTCACCCCAAATTTACGTCAAATAGTTGAGGTCGAATGTATAAAGCAAAGCTCTTTGAATCAAGTGTTGGGGACTGCTTGACAGATAGTGTTCTAGAAGGGGGGCTACAAATTTGAAGGCCATTTTAATTATGCACTGCAAAGAATTTTTCAAGAAAAGAAATGCTATAATGCATAGTAATATGCAACTTCATCTCATTTGACATTATAATCATCGTATCCAATTAAGAAATAAAAATACTGTACTACAAATGTTTGATGAAGACCAACTGTTTAAAAAGTTTACATACTCTGTTTAGTTGCAGAGCGAACAAAATTAATAAAACCTCTTTATCTTTTTTAGCTGCTTTCTAAGATACCGAAGATAGCTTAAAGTTTCATCAACATCAACATGCTCAATTGTTGTGAAATTGAAACATCCACTCAACTCAGCAACTTAAATTGAACTATTTGCTGAATCTTTCTAAAATTTGTTAGTGATTGTCAATTACATCCAATAATTTGGAACTTGGATAGTAATGGGTCACAACAATGAACTCCTACATAATTTATTCTAAATTACCCAAATGTTAACATCTGGTTCAAGTAAACTGCCGATGAATAAAAAAAAAAGATCCTAAAATACGCATAGAATTTCAGGGAATTATTTCGTTTTCCAGTAATTCAGTATATTTTGACTGTGCACAACAGTAGTTAACATAACTGATATAGTTTTGCAAACATAAAACAGATGAGAAAGCATTCACAACTTCAGGGTTACACACTCTCAAGTAGTTAAAAACAACATACAAATGAACATTAAAGAAGCACTGAATTCACATTTCTTACTTTCTATATATCAATGAGAGTGAGATTACCCTCATGAACAACTGCTTCAAACCAGTTAGGCATTCCATCGAACATAATATCCCTAAATGTTCCCATTATTGGATCATAAGAAACCAAAGCTCTGCCTTTATACACCAACAAGATGTTACCGTTTTTCATAAGGCATAAGACACGGATAATTGGGAAATGATTAAAGAACTTTGAAGCCCTAAAAGATTTGGGCACTTTCTTTTCCAATCCTCTTGGCACATGAGTACCAATACTGAAGTCCTTGGTCCAAGACTCCTTAACATCATAATCCTTCATTACCCAAATCTCAATTTGACCATTTTTATGGCTCACAGCTGCAGAAAGGCAACCTCCTAAAGCCACTAGAGAAAAACTACACCCATCTAAGCCACCACAAGTGGGTTTTGGAACAACTCGAAATTGCTCGTCTGCTAGGTCAAAGGAGATGAGCGAGCGATCTGGACCATACCTCTGTGGCCAAGTCTGCCAATGAAGCCTTCCGCTCACCAGGACCTGTGATGATATTTCACGAAGAACGTAAGGGATTTTCCCTAGGCTTCTCCAAGCAGGGCTACCTAGCGTGAAAATCTGAACCTGTGATTCTGGCCGATAAATTTGAACAGGATTGCGTACAGTTCGAGGTTTAGTCCTATGATACACAATCTTTAACACCTTGTACTCTTTTGTTATCGGGTGAGAACCAAATCCGAATCGGAATGCCACTTCACGAATCGGAAACTCTATAGATTTGAGCAACTGTTTGTGGTCCCTGGTGAAAGGATTATATATATAGAATTGAGTTTTTGTTAGTGAATCACATAAGCACAGCAAGCATTTGCATGATCCTATCACCTCATACTCAGGCAACGTAGGCACACAGATTTTATTCACCCTAAGATTATCTTCATCATGAGCAGAGAGGTCTAGAGAGTAAAGTTGGTTTTGGATGGGGTAATCACAGTGTAAAATGAGACTTGGATCATTCTTACCCACGCATGAAAAACGCATACTGACAAGATGAGGGTCTTTTGATAAGCTGCGCCAGGCTCGGCATACAAGCTTGCAGTGCAGTAGAGATGTTACAGGAAGCCTTGATAATATGTTAACCACAACCTCTGGAGGAAGATATTCCATGCTTATTGGTATATAATTTTTGGAGCTTTTTTGTAGCCGGCTCTTCTCCTACAATTTTTCGCACAGGATGAGATCTCAACCTTGCAGATCTTTGTAAAGGAGAAAACTTAAGGTTAGAGTTTAGGCGGAGACAAAGAAATGGAACTTTGATAACATCAAATCAAATGAAAACAGACGGAAACCCCAATGAAATTTTATTGTTTTAGGTTTCCTTTATGGCCTGCCAATACTATTGGCCAAGGTATTGTTTGACCTTACAATCTCATTTGTTTATTATAAGATATAGATGAAACTGAGAAATCTCCATCCTTTTGAAGTTCTATTGGTCAGCTCAAACCAATAAGCCACCATTTTCTTTCATGATATTCTTTTCTGAATTTTCTTATTTGCTTGAGAATGAGGGATCAATTTGCACTAATGTTAAAAATTAATGCGTGTGCAAAATTTTATATTCCCTAATTCCTCCATCATTTTATCTGCATTCATAGAACTACAATATGCGAAAGCATTTAATTAAGAATCTTGGAAATTTGATGGTGAATAGGATTTCTGCAAAGTAGCAAACATGGTACATTCCAGTTGGTCAGGAGAGAAGTAAACGATACAAGATTATATCGGCAAAAGAGAGCAAAGATGGTTTTACAGTTCGTTCATTTTACTAGTCCACATACTGTAGTATGTATGCAAAAAAATACAGTACTCTCCTATCGTTATCAGCACAACCAAGAAAATAATGGAACTAATTGCTGAACCTTTTTGAAATCTATTAGTCATTTTCAATTGCTACTAAGGAGGGCACCTCAATGAACTCGTTAAGTCCATTCTTCTTCACCACATATTTCTACATTACCCAAATATCAATTAGGTTCTAGTGAACCGCCTGGTAGATGGATTTAAAAAAAAAAAAAAATCCTAATATAATCATAGGAATGCAGATAATTTCATTTCCCAGTAATTGACTATGTTTAGACAGTATACAACAGGAACTCATATAATTGTTACAGTTCTGCAAACATAAAAAAATGAGGAGCGTTCACAACTTCACATTTACCTCTCTATATGTATATAATGAATAGCAAACTCACTAAAAAAAGAAACATTTAATTCACATTGTTACTTTCTATGTATCAATGAGAGTGAGATTACCCTTATGAGCAACAGCTTCAAACCACTCTGGCATTCCATTGAACAAAAGTTCCTTTAATGTTCCACTTATTGGGTTGTAAGCAACCAAACCTCTGCCATTTCTCTCCAACAAGATGTTACCATTTTTCATGAGGCATAAGACACGAAAAATTGTGCTATTGTAATAGAACTTTGAAGCCATAAGGGATATAGCTACATCATGTCTCAATCCTCTGGGCACGTGAATTCCAACGCTAAATTCCTTGGTTCTAGACTCCTTGACATCATAATCCTTCGTTACCCATATTTCAAGTTGCCCATAATTGCGACGAACAGCAGCAGAGAGGCAACCTCCTAAAACCGCCAGAGAAAAACTACAGCTGTCTAAGCCACCACAATCAGGCTGTGGGACGACTCGAAATTGCTCGTCTGCTAGGTCAAAGGAAATGAGCGAGCGACCAGGACCATCCCTCTTTGGCCAATGAAGTCTTCCACCAACCAAGACCCGTGGTGATCTTTGAAAAATACTGTAAGAGATATTCCCTAGACTTCTCCAAGTAAGGCTGCCTAGAGTGAAAATCTGAACCTGTGACGTTGGAGGAAAAATTCCACCAAGATTCCGTACTCTTAGAGGTCTAGCCCTATAATAGATGATCTTTACTACCTTGTACTCTTTTGTTGTTGGATGAAAACCAAATCCAAATACCACTTTATAGATCCGAAACTCCATGGATATCTGAAACTCTATGCATTTGGGCAACTCTTTGTAGTCCCTAGTAAAAGGATTATTTATGTAGAGTTGATTTTTTGTTAACGAATCATGTAAACATAGCAAGCCTTTACACTATCCTACCATATCAAACTCAGGCAAAATAGGCACACAGATTTTATTCAACCTCCGATTGTCTTCATTGTGGGCAGAGAGTTCTAAAGAGTAAAGTTGGTTTCGAATTGGGTAATCAGAATGTAAGATGAGACATGGATCATTCTCATTCAAGTGCGAAAAGCGCAGACTGACAAGATGAGGGTCCCGTGTTAAGTTGTGCCAAGCTTGACATACAAGCTTGCATTGCAGTAAAGACGTTATGGGAAGCCTGGATAGAATGTCAACGATAAAATAAAAAAAGAATAAAGTAAAGAGAGAAGGCCAAGTGAAAGTTAATGAAAGCTTTATTTAAAATGAGAAATACAATAAAAACTTGGTGAGAAGAATGCGTAGTTCAACTAAATCACATCAGCAATTTAAAGACCTGATCCACTAAGCCACTTCCCACAAATCTCTCCAACCACTCCCATCATATTTACCACTACTACCACTACTAAAATCTTATCTAGATAACAACAAAATAAAAACAACCCAGGCCACTTCCCAACGTGAACAAGCCTCACGTGATAGATATTTGACTTGGTAAACAAACTAATAAAATAAGTAAATAAACCACAACACGTTAAGTTGCACTAATTTTTGACACTCCCCCTTAGTGCAAGCTTACAAGCAACAACACCCAGAGCATCTCGAAAAACGTCAAACTTAGGCCTTGCCAAAGCCTTAGTAAATATATCAGCCACTTGTTCACTGGTGTGAATGCCTTTCAACTCAATCTCTTGATTAAGCACTTTTTCACGAACATAATGATGCCGAACCTCAATATGCTTTGTTCGCGCATGAAAAACTGGATTTGATGCAAGTTTGATAGCACTTTCATTGTCACATTTGATCTGCACAGCATAGTTAACTTTGCACACAGCATGTCCGATCAACCCCTTTAACCAAATGCATTCTTGTGCACCCATGGTTGCTGCCAATATTCAGCTTCAGTGCTAGACAAAGCAACAACACTTGCTTCTTGCTACACCAGGAAATCACAGCTGAACCAGTGTTAAACAATATCCTGAAGTTGAGCGACGATCATTTCTATCTCCAGCCCAATCTGCATCAGTGAATCCACTTAACAAAAATTATTACATCTCTTAATAAAAAAGGCCATGTGAGAGATCCTTTGATATAACGTAAAATTCTTTTTGCCGCATCTAATGAGGAGTTCTTGGATCTTGCATAAACTGTGAAACAACACCAACAGAATATGAATTTCTGGCCTTGTGATGTTAAATATATTAAGCTCCCACAAGTTGTCGGAACCTTTTAGCATCCTTCAAAAGCTTCCCTTCATCTTTCTTCAACTTGAGATATGACTCCATAGGAGTAGCCATTTCTTTTGACTCCCCCATGCCAAAACGCTCCAAGAGACCTTTTGCATATCCTTTTTGAGAATAAAATAACCTTGATCTGATTTTTTCCACTTCTAGACCAAGGAAACACCCATTTCTCCCAGATTTTTCATCTCAAACGCACAGATAATCATTCCTTAATGAGAAATTTCTGATTCATTATCTCCTGTTATTATCATATCATCAACATATATAATACCAGCAGATGCATTTTTGATTCTAATTTTATGAACAAACTAGAATCTGAATCAGAAACTTTAAAACCACAAAAGAGAGATATTGAGCAACTTTACCATACCAAGCACGCGGTGCTTGTTTTAGACCGTAGAGTGCTTTCTTTAATCGGCATACATGATGTGGAAATTGCTTAGAGACAAAACCTTGGCGTTGCTCCATAATACTTCACGATCCAACTCTCCATAAAGAAATGCATTCTTTACATCAAGTTGCACAACTTCCAATCTTTAAAAGCGCAAGTGAAAAAATTGATCTCACCGTCACCATCTTTGCTACTGGACTAAACGTCTCCTCATAGTCTAATCCATAGCTTTGAAAAAACCACGGGCAACTAAACGAGCTTTGAACCTATCAATCGTCCCATCTGATTTTTTCTTCAACCGATAAACCCATCTGCAAGTGACTGGCTTACAATTTCTGGTTTGGGTACTAACTCCCACTTCTCATTTTTGTCTAATGCTTCAATTTCTTCTTGCATTGCTCTTCCCCATTTTAGACAGTCTTTGGCTTCTTCATAGCTTTCTGGTTCTTCTGCACTTAAATCCAGTAAAGAAACATGAGGTCACTGTGCAATGATTAAGTTGTCCTCATAATCTTTGAGATGATCTGGCTGCCTTGTCTCCCTTGTTGATCTTCTCACTGCTTGTTGCTCACCATCTTCTGGTCTTTGAATATTCTGCCTTGGAGATTCATTTTCTGTTTCATCATTGCTAGGTGCTGGCAGATTAATTTCAGAAATTAGAGGCTCAAAGTTGTCTTGATCATCATCAAGAGCAATATTTTTTACCACGGGCTTTTGAGCAAAACATAGAGATGATACTTCATCAAACACCACATCTCTGGAAGTAACAAATTTATTTGTTCCTGGATCCATACACCTCCAACCCTTCCTATAAGAGTCATAGCCAACAAATCACATTTCTTTGCTTTCGAGTCAGTTGGATCGTTAGATTTAGGAACATGAACATAACAAATAGAACCAAATACCCGAAAGTAATTAACATTTGGCTTTTCACCATATAAATCTCAAAGGAGATTTTTGTGTACCTGGCCATGGAGGTAACCTGTTTATCACATGACATGCACACTGAATAGCTTCTGCCCAAAGCTCCCGAGGAAGATTCTTATCATGCACCATGAAAGACAAACTGAAGCAAGATGACCAAGTTTCCTTTCTGCAACTCCATTCTGCTGAGGGTATCTGGACATGTCATTTGACGAAGAATACCATTGTCATCACAAAATTTGAAGAAATCGTTGACATATATTCCCCACCATTATCACTCCGCAGACATTTTATTTTCTTCCTGAAATTCTTTTCAACAGCATCCTGGAATTCCATAAACTTGGATAATGCTTCACTCTTCTCTTTCAAAAATTTCACACCCAAGTGAACCGTGAGTGATCATCCACCAATACCATAACATAACATGTTTGCTATAGCTTGGTGTTCTTGTTGGTCCCATCAAGTCTGTATGAACCAATTCAAATGAGGTGGATCTGCGATTTGATGAATTGTTAAAAGGAAGACGATGTGATTTGCCATATTGGCAACCTTGACAAATCACATTCTCATGTACATCCTTCAAAGTTGGTATGCCATCAATCAATTTTTAGAGGAAATTTGCTGCAACATTTGGTAGCCTACATGACCCAACCGAGCATGCCAAATTGCAGCGCTATTGATTTGGCTCGTTTTCTTTACATAGCGTTCACCTGCTGACAAAACAACAAAAGCTTTCTTCTCTCCAGTAAGAATAACATCAGCAGATATATCTTTCACATTATCAAGCACCTTCACATCATTTGGACCAAACAAAACATATTTGCCAGAATCAGTAATTTGAGAAACTGAAACTAAATTTTTCTTCAAACCTGGAACATGATAACTCATTCAACTGACACTACTAGTTCTTGTATCATCAGCAACATCGATTGTCACAACACCTTCTTTTACTACCGGATAGGTGGTTATCTGCAGTAACATAACCCGCTCTCCATGATGTTGACGCATTTCTGAGAACAATGTGTCATTTCCGGTTACATGGTGTGAACAACCTGAATCAATGATCCACTCCTCTTTGTCGTTTTTGACATAATTAACAAGAGTTTGGACTGACTTTTCTTCAACTTCTTCAACATAAAACATTGCTCCCATTTGAGTTGATCATCTCCTTCACTTGCACATGCAACATTGGCTTTGGAAATCTTCACACGACAATTTCTCTTAATATGCCCTGTTTTCCCCGCATCTGAAGCATGTGATAGATTTCTTACTTTGTGAATTGCCACCTTTCTCTGCACTTGAATCTTCTTCTTTAGTCTTTTCCAGGCTGATGTATTCTTCTTATTGTGGCTTCCCTTTGAGAAGAGACAGCGTCAGATTCAAATTTTTTGCCATTTGTTTAGCAGCTCTACTTATTTAGAGAGCAGTTTCTAACTCCTCTATCCTAGAAGGCTGCTGTGACTCCCTCCGTGAATAGAGGTGACGAAAGGCCCATACTCCTTTCTCACCCCACGACAAGGATACCGACGTAGACGGCCTTCCTAATTTTGTCTACCGCATCTATCTCTGAAATTTCAGCACAGATACTTTTACCTCGTAAAGCGAATTAGTATAGAACTTGCCCGTCATTCCTTAAGTCTATCATACTTCCACATATCTCCAATAGCTGACAACTCTGTAGCTGTCTCTTCTTAGTACACAGCTTCTCAAGCGTGTCCCAGACCATGGATGAGCTAACATCACGAACATGATCAATAAACTCTTTGCTGATAAGATGTCCTCAGAAAGCACAAAGGTTTAGCCACACTTGATCTTCCATATTGCCTTCTGACTCGCATGCTCAGATTATGCGAGTAGATCGGCATAGTCAGAAATGCCATCGCAACCCAGGATACTAATCCCAGCCACAATCTGACACGTGAGAGTATACGCCCTACCACTACATTCTCCGTACTGTATGTTATATGCCTACAGCTTCTCCATCCCGTATCTGAGTATGTTCCGCCTCGTTCTGACTACTTCTCCAATTGACTGCAAACAAACAAACTTTCTTCTCGCAACTTTCAAACTCCTGCAACAAGACAGAGCTATGGATAAGACAAAAGAATGGCCTTCCGCAGTGACCATCTGATACCATAATAATAAAAAGTATAAAGTAAGAGAGAAGACGCAGAGTGAAAGTTAATGAAGCTTTATTTAAAATGAGAAATACAATCAAACAATAGAAAACTTGTAGAAAGAAGTGCGTAGTTCAACTA